AAAGGAAATGTAGTTATTCTCTTGTGTCTATTTCACCCCAGACCTTCCTACCTGTGTCTAACTTGCTCAGATTTCCTAGTTTTGGTGATAATGCAGGTTCATAGACTCCTAAGGGCACAATTCTGTAACCATGTAAGCCAATGGTGACACACATCTGTGATGACAGCACTCAGAAAGTTCAGGTTAAAGCAGCCTGGTCTACATGTGCTCCAGGAAAGGCTATCTACTGTTACAAATTAGCCCTAACACCTTGATAAAGAACACCATCCAATAGTTTACTACATTCTTGACCCCGATCTCCTGGAAACCAAGGAGGCACCAAAAGCTAAAATGTGCTGCTTTTCAAGGTAGTAGACATGCAAAGGCTGACTATTAACACTCTGGCTATACTGCTAAGTCAAACCAAGCAGATAGCTAGAGAGGGCTCAGAGAGCCACCTTGCAGAGGACCCAGGCTCCATTCTGTGTCCACACCATGTAGCTACAAGAGCCTTTAACTCCACTCACAAGCACAGGTGAGCATTCATGTTTTTTTTTTTTCCTTTGAGTCCAGGTCTATGCAGCCCAGCTGGTACGGAATTCAGTCACCTGCCTCTGAACTGCTAGGATTAATGTGTTGTTCGTAAAGTTTCTGCATTTCTCTCCAAACTTAGACTCAATTCAGAGAAACTGTCTTCCAGGACCACCAATATCTTGACATGTGACAAGGACCTTTAAACTATCTACTTTAAACCAATAATTTCTCCAACAGTGTCCCCAAATTTAAGTCACCTACTTAACAACACACAAGGCTTTTTGCATAACTAATGAAGACGAAAAACATTTACATTATGTTACATGTTACATTCTGAGGTAATTAATAGTTGCTACTAGGGGAAGGGGAGTCCCATCCCCTTAGTGGTGTAGCCATTGGTAAACTAGCCTTGGTCAGGGCAAGCAACTACATCCTACACTCAGGCAAGCACCCAAATTAAAGTAGGCAACACACATAGAAGTCATAAAATTATAAGAATTTGTGATGAAGGGGTTCAGTGGGAGGGGATGAAAAGACATATACAGAGAAAAAACAACTTAGGTTTTGCTCACCAATTTCACTGCAACTGATAAAATTCTCTGAAATTATATATTTAATGAGTACTTGTAACTCACCCACCTAAGACCAAAAGCTAAAAATATCAAGATGGATGGGTTAGAGATGGCTCAGCACCCATATCTGCTCACACCCATGGGTAACTCCTAATTCCACAAGCATTATGCACATGTGGTACATAGACACATGCAGGCCAAACACTCGAACACATAAAAGTAAAACAAGATGGGACACAAAAAGAACAATACATTCAGGTGTAGGCTGCCAGAAAAATCAAAGCCCGAGACAAGGAACTTCAGCACATCAAACTTACCATTTTCCTAGAAATCACAAATACTCAAAGTTTGACTCATTCAGCATAACTTAAAAGCAAAAAACAAAACAAAACAACAACAAAACCCCCCCACCAAACTGTTTTCAGAGAAACAAATGATTTTTCACAAGATATAAACTGTTAATTCTTTTCATATTCTAAGATTTACTACTAGCCGTAGGTAGGTAGCCAGAGGACAGACAACAAAGACTCCAACACATTTCAGTTTGCCAAGCTGTGACTGTTTATTAACTGACCAGATTACAAAAATACCACAGGCAACACCTGAAAGGGGAAAAACAAAAAAAAAACAAACAAACAAAAAAACAAATTAGAGACCGTCCAAGCTACAAGTTAATATCAGTTGTAAAGGAGCATACATCATTACAGGTAGACAGAACCCTGCCACATTAAAATTCAATGATACACCCAGTCAGCATTTAACAGAAAGCATTCAAGATTATGTGCCCTCCCTTAAACATAGTTCTCATCCAGGCAATGGTTGTGCACACCTTTCAATCCCAGCACTTTCAAGGCAGAGGCAGGCAGATCCCTATGAGCTCAAGGCCAGTCTGGCATGCATTAAATTCCAGAACAGGCAGAAATATGTCTCAAAAACCAAACAAAAAAAGACTACTTATGTCAGGACACAATCTCTCACCTTAGTTCATCCGTCTAATAAGCCTGTTTATCTGGTCTTCCCTGTTGCCAGCATCACCACCTTCCACAAAATAAGTTTGTCTTTTTCTTCATTCCACCTCGTACGTGATTGTAGATGAGCTCGTTTATTGACTTCAGGTTGGGGTACCCCCATGCGATATATGGTTCCACAATCCTCAGCATATTAATTGAAGCTTTGTTGAGCTTAACAAAGGTGCCATTGAAGATCTGACGAAGACGGAGCAGCTGCAACACCTTGCGGACCTTTGGGCTAACACCATTGATACCTCGGATTCGGATGACAAATGCCAGCTTGAGTTCTGCAGGCACATAGAAGTTTCCAGCTTTCCTTGCCATCCTAGCCATGCGAATCTCCGTCCGGTACATCTGCCTGTATTCCTTGTGGTAATGCTTTGCCTTTTCATAAATGAGCTTCCTATGAGCTTCCTCCGTGCCTTCCGCAGTGTCTTCGGTGCAAAGTTCTTCCGAAAGCGCTTCACCTTCAACTTCAAAAGCCAAGAAATTCCTTCGCTTTTTCTTAAGGGTTTCTGGCACAGCAGGAACCTTCTTTTTCTTCTCGGGCACAGCCTCCATGGTTCCAGTCGGAAAACAGACAGAGCTATTTTTAGTTCTTTTGAAGGCCATTCACTGCCCACAGCTTCGTCTTACCCAGCATCCTAGTGACTACCAAATCTTACTATGTATTCTTGGCTGACCCCTAGCTTCTATCAACCCAAAAGACACAAACAACTATGATAGCCAGCACCTGGAGCAGACATTGCCCTGACCTGCTGTTCCACCCCTGTAGCCCCCACCAATGCATTCTGTAAGCACTCTGATTTATGACTTTGTTGTTGTTGTTGTTCTGTAAGTGATATAACATCATCCTGTATTTGGGGGTGGTGGTGGGAGCTTGAATCCTGTTCCTGGGCCTGGTCATGCATATCAGGCTCCAGAAGGAACTGCTAAACTGGGGGTAAGAACTGCATTTTTGCCTTAACACCTGTGGGTCAACATCTGAGGGCCAGGTGTGGTGGCACCTGCCTTTCATCTTAGCACTTGAGCAGAGGTCAGCCTGGTTTCCATAGCAAGTTCTAGGACAGTTAATGTTTCACAGAGAGACCATGCCTTGATGAATGGACAATTGAATGAATGAATATGAGAATCAGCATTTGAGTCTTCTATGAGCCCCATGGCACGGCCAATCACCACCGATGCTGTGCTCAGCAGTTCAGAGCAAGCCTATCAGACGTCTTTGTGATTCAAAGTCTCACAGGAGTTTTTGTGGCTCCTCCCTGTGCCCAGGTGGAGGTGGGCAGCTTTTCCCTATGCCTTTTGTTCATGGCAGGGCTGTTTTCTGTTTCCCTTCCACAGAGAGTAGCTTTAATGACTTACCTTTATATGGATGTTTCCTATTCTACAAGATACCTTGGACTTTGTCATGGTGTGTTTGTGCTACTATGACAAAACACCTTAGCCTGGGTCATTTATATACAACATAAATTTATCACACAGTTCCTAAGTTCAAGGGAGTCCAAGGTCAAGGCACTTACAAATGTAGTGATTGGTGATAGTTTCTCTTATGAGGATGCTAATCTCAGGGCTGAGGTGTAGCTCGGTGGTGGGATGCTTGCCTAACATATATAGTGTCCTGGGGTCAATACCCAGTACTGGTGAGTAAGGAGGCACTAATCCCATTTGTGTGGCCTCATTACCTAACCACCTCCTAAAGGCTCCACACATTAATTCTACCACATTAATTAAGTTCCAGCACATGAATTTTGAAAGGACATCAATATGCACACCATGGCAAGCATATTTTATTTGTTCAGGGTGTAGATGGCTGGTTGTAGTAATATTAAGTTTTATAGCTCACCTATACAAATGGAACTTTGAAAAATTAGTGTGTACATTATGCAAATGATTTGTAGAGCAAGCAGTCTGTCACATTCTCTTAAGAACAAAGATGCATTGCTGTTGCTCCTCGGCGTCTGTGGAGGAGTTGGTCCAGGACTCTCCCTGAACACCAACATCTGGAGATGCTAAGAGTGCCTTACATAGAACAGTGTAAGATTTACACCTAACCTATGCACACTGTCCCCTACTCGTTAATCATCTCCAGATTACCCATGATTCTTAATTCAATATAAGTGTTTGTAAATAGCAACTCCATGAATAGTTGTTGTACTGGATTATTTTGGGGATAAGGGCAAAGAAAAAAAAACATATACCAACAAGCTCCACACAGATGCAGTTGTTTTTGGAGTATTTTCTCTGCAGTTGGCTGAATGTGAGGATGAGACACAGAAGACAGAATGCACGTCAGGGTCCAGTAAGTCCTTGTACATGAGAAGTCACTGAAAAGGCTTGTGCAAAATGGTTTGTAACACCAAAGCAGCAGCAACCTAACCCTCCTTGGGGGTGGGGGTGGGGGAGAATAAGCTGGTTTATTCACTTGGCACAGCAGTTAGAACGAAGGTTTTCAGTCTGGGAAGATTTCAACAATGTCTGGGTAACATGACACCAAAAAAAAGCATCTCAGAAACAATAGAAATAGCAGTAGATGTCAGATACCTGCACAATCCAGTAAAAAGAAACTGGACACTGAGATACGATGAATGGCGCACTTGCCACCTTTGTGCGCAGGTGGGGGATGGGCAGCCTGGGTGCATGCTTTTGTTAAGTCTGCTCTTGCTTGTTGTTTTGAGTATGAAAGTGGTACCTAGTATCTTGTGCACAAGACTGCCTATTGAGTTACAATCAGGTCCCATGTTTTAAATGGGAGAGAGCATGGCACTGATACTGTAAAATGGTAATTATTTTTATTTTAGTTGGTGAGATATAGTTAGATACAGTATATAGATATCTGTTATGTTACTTTTAGAGTTTTTGAAATGTTTCATAAAATCAAAAACATAACTTCTATAATTTTTTTTCTAAAAAAATGAAAGCGGTAAAGAAATGTATCAAAACAGTCATTGTTGCTTGTGGCAGCAAGGAGGGAATGCATGGCTTCTCTTTTCTTTGACTTTCTACATTTTATGACTGTTACTTTTATAATGAAAAAAAGTACAGATTTAGATTTCTTTAAAAGTAGTTATATGAAAAGCAAATGCACTACCATGACAGAGTTCCTGTGGGTTTGTATCAGCTCCTGGCAAACAGGGAGCCCTTTGTGAGGTACGATTAATAAAACCTCCAGGGCAGCTTGCTAGTGGGCTGTATGCCAGGCTCATGTCACACAGTGAGCACAGTGTTACCTACACTGACACCAGTATTTCCTTGAGACCCAGTTGATAGATTCTTTCTGAATGCATCATTTATGCCAAATGGAAAAAAGTTCATATTGACCAGCTAGCCTCCAGGCTGGAAAAGAACAAACCAACTTTTATTCAGATTTTACTGTTGCCCATTTTAAGCCAGCATCCTTGTAGTAACCACGTTAATTCAACACAGATTTTGCTGCATTGGGTCCTGGACCTACACAAAGGTGCATCCAATTGTCTATTACCTGCTGAGGCTATTGGAAGCCCTGAGATATACATAAAGGTCCTCAAAGCTTCAGGAAACCAGCCTTTGGAGATTTCCAGGAAGGATGAGGCACCTTTATGAGTCCCTCATCATCTCTAGCTGCTTCTTCTGGAATTCTTTCCCAAATTACCCCATTGGGAGAAATAACTCTTACTTCATAGGTAGGGTTGCAGGAAATGATGTCACAGCATCTTTAAGCCCCTAACTGTGGACATTATTTAGCCATTATATTTAGGGTCCTGTTACAAATCTCTCTGTTCTGTTTGTGTCTGGAACACCTCAGCAGGTCTTTAATGGCCTGCTATCTGCTTTAGGACATTCTATGGTTCCAGTAACTTTTGGTGAGCCACCTCTGAAATATTAAGTGGAAAATTCAGAAATGAGCAATCCAGGAGCTTTGAACAACTTTTCAGTACAATTTATTGTTACAGATGTTCTATTTACTGTTGTTATACATGTTGCCCCTTACTGTACCTGTTTATAAGTTAAACTTTATCACACTTACATAGAGTCAGGAAATATATAGGATATATGGGTTCAGTGCTCCCTATGGTTCAGCATCATAGGGTCTCTGGTAGGTGTGTGTGGAGACTCCCACAGAATCTTGACTCCAGCTTCATTTCATTATCTATCACCACCCAATTTTATCTATTTTCCTGTTATTTCCCATTTTGGTATGAGTTCTCCTAGCCTTTCATGTCTAAGAAATCTAGAATCATTTGTATTAATAAATTGTTTATTAATAAGCCTATTAATCAGAATAATTTTGTTCTTATATTCTCACTGTCTTCTCTTTTAACTTTGTCAACAAGCTTTTTTGTTTGTTTGTTTGTTTTTTGTTCCCTCCACACCACCTGTCAAATGTTTGGTCAAACAAGTACTAGTGTTTTAGTGCATCTGCATTGACATTTAGCCAAAGACAAGCTTGTAGCCAGAATTTACCAGCTAGAAGGAGTGTTTTGAGGGGGGATGATGACCTATTACGCTCAATGAGCACTTAGAACTTGTCATTTGTGTCACCTCAAATGACAGAGATGACCTCTACTAGGGCTGATGTGAAATCACCATTGGATGTCACACACATCAGTTTCATGGCTTATGTGCCTTCCTTGTTGTTCATGAGCTGAATGCTGAGATATTTGTGGGAAAACAAACAAAACTAAAAGCCACTCTTTATGGATGGTTCATGATGGATATGGTGGTAAATGGAATTCTTATTTCGTGGTTGTTGAGCAAATCAACCCTACCAGGAGCTGGTAGGTCATTGACCCAGGCCTGGTAAAATGTTTATTGAGTGGAACATCAACTAATGAGCTTAGAGACAGAAAGCCTTTAGAGATATATTCATTATAAAAACTGTTACATTTTCATAGATATCAAGAATAAGAACAGTTCAAAGCATCCTTCACTGAGCTATATCTCAGTCTAACAGGGCCAACATTGTCCATCATCTATAGCTTCCTTGTCGTATTTTGCTACAAATTCTAGGTATCATATCATTACACCTGGAAATATTATAATATAACTTCCCCAAATAATAAACCTCTTTCAGAAACCATAATATTATGCTTG